ATGGCCATCAGCCCGCGCCTTCTGACTGGTTCCAGGCACGCAGGAACAACGCAGGTTAGTCCCAGCTAGCCTCGCCGCTCCAGGTACGCTAATCCGTCACCGTCGCTACCGCGCGTGCTAGGTAGCTTCCACTAGGCCGGGGCGAGGTGTGCGCTGTTTTCTTGTTAGTCTCTGGTTCCTCGGTACGGTCCTTGGACTAAAACGGCGTTCAACTGGCGAAGTCGGAGCCCACAGAGCCTCATCCGAACCCCTCCCTGTTACTAACCAGACACCCCCCCCCCCCCCAAAAAGTGGTCGTCCCCTGATGCCCTCATTTCACTGATACTCTGAACGTCAGCAAATGGCAAAATCCTTTGACAGGTGTATGTTTATCTTGACAGATCTTGCATACATATGAGCAAGATCAGTCGTCAAAACCACGGCAGTCGACTTGGGCTTTACATCACACCGTTAAAGTTCAGGCACAGAGCCTCCGATGAACAAGCAGGACGAAAAAGGTCACTTCTGGGGAGACACGAGAGCCTAGTGGCGCCAGTGGGAAGATTCAAAGACATGGCCCCCAAAATCATAATAGCACGGCCTGCCACACTCCAGGGTCAGAGTAGTACCAGCGGTGATTGCCGACTAGTGACTAGCACACGTAGACGAAAAAGGCCAGTAAAAAAACGGCCAAACTCATCTTGGAAGGCGACTGGATGAACATCATGAAGAAGGCTGGGTGGATGGAGCTGCAAGCACAGCACCTCAGCAAGATGCGGATACCCTGGCATGCTGCCCACCTGCGACTGGCGAAGTCGTCTGTACTGGGTTGACAGCGCACACGATTGGACTCGGCCCGCTAATAATAGAGAGGGCAAGCAGATGGATCCGATGAAGGCCCCTCCTCTGTGGCTCTTAGTGGTGCAGTTTGCTGTAGCCAAAACCGGTGCAGTCGCCTGGAGGAACGCCAGACCATGCACGAGGAATAGGTGAAAACGGTGTCCAATGGCAGCAGGCGGAGGCGGGCCCACCACGGTCCGGCCTTCCTAATAACCAGTGGCATTTGACAAGTTGAGAAGCGGATGTCGCGTGAGTTGGCTGCAGCTGCCTGTACTCGGGCCTCTTGGTGATGCCGTGCCGTGCTGGAGATGGTCGCGCTGGCAAGTTGGTGATGGGTGGCGGAACGCCGGCGGGGGATGTATGGTGGTGCTGATTGTGGGAGCTGCGCTGTATGTAGTTACGGGGTAGTACAGGAGCTGCAGGTCGGCGATGGCATTGATGGCGAGTGAGAGACGAGGTTGCTCGGTGCGTACCGTGGCACATGAGCTCGCTTCTTGTTCCTCTTGTTCTTGCCAGGAGACGACCGGTGCGGGCATGGCATGTATCTCTCGACGTGACAGGAGGAAACATGGGTTAGGTGTTTTGGTGTTATAGGTCAGAGTATGCTTACTTGGGATGCTGTCCATAACGGCCATGGATGGATCGATAAGTATGGGTTGATGGATTGATGGTTTTGATGGAAACTCTGAGTGCGTGTTTTGTGGTGGGCGAGGGACGATGGCGGCCGTCGCAACCATGGGGGCCCCAGGCCGACCAACCGAACGAGGAACCCCAGTCAACGGTACGGGACGGAGGGTGGACGAGGTGGCGGCGGCTTGTGCGATTGGAAGCATGGGAACTTGGAAAGCATGGGAAGCATGGGAAGCATGGGAAGCATGGGTGGATTTTTCGGTTCGTCTTGCAAGTGGAAATTGGAGTGCATGTGCGCATCTATCTGCGAGCTGCGAGCCGTGAGCTGCGAGCATATACTGATACTGCCAACTGTTCATACGGGTGGGCTCTTTAGATGCATGTATCATTGCCACAGACGCAGGCCAAGACTGAGAGGCGAGCCCACTGTGGGAGCATCAAAATCAAGCGTGTTATAGACTGGGGTTATCTTGGTGCATGCATAGGACTTTGGTTTCTGATTTATTACCAGGCCCATGGGCAGGGTTCAGACATTGATCGGGGAGAAGGAAGAGAGGTAAATAGGTACAAGCGCCCTTGGGAGAGGCAAGTATGAGATGGAATGAGGAACGGCGATGGTAGGGCCAATTCTTCTCCCTTTATGGATAGAGTTGAGATTAAAAAATGGCCGCTTCGGCGTGTAGTCGACAAACCAAGAACAAAAACGAAAGACAGGGAAATTATCCATGGGCGATGACGTGCCGAACCATTGTCGACTCCCTCGTGTCCCCCTCGTCTCGGTCCCCCTCGATGATGCGACCCGTCTCCCTGTGGTAGGAAGCCCCATAGCCGCGTAAAGAAGCCGGGGCGGAGATGGGAGCAGATACGTGTATGCGTGAGCGTGATGGGTTGGACCCGCCCTGTCGTGGTGAGCGAGAGCGCGTCGTGCTGCGTACTTGGTGCTGCGTGCATGCTGCAGACTTTTTTGGGTGGTGGTGGTGAAGCAGGCAAGCCAGGGCAATGGGAATGGGTAATGAGGAAGGGAGGGGTCAAGAGTCAAGAGTCAAGATTTGTCGACGACAAAGAGGTGGATGAAAGCAAGGCAGGACAGGGAACAGCGGCCGCAACAACAGCACCTCGGCTTTTGCGATAGTGTTTTTTTAGGTAGTATATTTTGGTGGAGTGCCACATCGCTGCAGCGCGTGCACCACTGTCAAGACGCCTGTAGTTAACAGTCTATAGTGCCTGTTTGTACCTCGCAACCTGGGTAACAGTCTGTGCCTTATTTAGGTACCAGCCAGTAGCACATCTGTAACTAGCAGCCTGCACCTTGGCGACCAGCAGCGTTGTGGGGTACACTGCCGCCGCCCAGCTTCCGCCGTGGCTTCACCTTAGGTATCCACCTGGTGTGCCTAGGCCCTGGGATGTGATGCGTGGGCAGTGCGCAACCTAACTTGCCTAGAAAATCCCAGCTAAGTGCTGTAAATCCTCGGTACTCTGTACCTTGACAACTTGGGCAGTCGTAGGTAACTAGCCTCGAGGTAATGATAAAGAGTCTTGGCCCTAGCCCGCCCTCCAGAGTGACTCCAGAGTGACTCCAGAGGGAGAAGACGACGCGTCGTATCAGTAGAAGAGGGAGTTGAAAGTGCTCTGTTTGCAAGGTCTAGCGCTGTGGCTGCGAGCCAGGTACCTCGTGATTTTACTGCGAGGTCCCCTGGTGGAGGTACCTATTCAGCAGAACACGCCAGCACCAGTACGTATACTGGTAATAGCAGCAATGCCAAATCCTTGAGCGCTTTTTTTTTTTTCCCTTCGCTCACGGCCAGTTCCGTTGCCAGCGGCTCTTGACGCGTTAGTGTAAAACGGGACTCGCAAAAAACCGAGAGGGAAAAAGAGAGAGGAGAAACGAGAGCCATCTCCTCCGAGGCCGGGTGGCGTCTTGTCGATTCCCCGCCAGCTTCCACTGCCCATGTGTTGGGGTCGATGCACTAAATAGCGACACTAGGTACCTACAGCGTTGTTAATGCCCAGCATCGCACCTATAGGCCAAAACAGCGCTGTAGGCTCTTTCCAATCTGTAAAATATAAGGTAGGTGTTATAATTATCGGGAAGGTACTGGTGGGCAGTGGTGGCACACTGACACCGGTGGTCGCAACTCGGTGCAGGGAGCAGGGAGGGTGTTTGCTGCTGCCACTGCTGTTGCTTCTACTTGTATATCTGTACCTGTTACTGGCTGCACCCACTCGCCCTCACCATTCATCTAAACCGCCCCTCGCAAATCCCCATTCAATTGTTTCTCTACCTCTGTGTTTCTCGCTCACCCCTCTCGTCAACTTTAATCGCGTCTTTTGCCTCTGTGCTTGTCTCTGTACTCGGTTCGATCACCATTGCAGGGGGGCCGGCGTCGTCTCTGCACCTTGCCCAACAAGAAAGAGAAAAAAAGAAAAAAAAAACAGAAGAAAAACATCGACGTCCTTGAACAAACCCACTCACTCCAACGCCCGCCGCACACAAATCCACACACCTTGCAGGCCCAATTCTACACGCCCTCTCTCATCCCCCGTCGTCTTCCCTTTGGCCCACGGCTGGCCTCGTCTACTCCTCAACTCTGCCTTTGCCATTCTGGCTCGCTTTGGCTGCTGGCTGGCTGGCTCTTCCGTACCCGCACCCAGCGTACGCCACCAGTGGCCAGGCCCCAGGGGTCAAATTGTCTGTCTGTCTGCTTCCGGCTACCCCGTTCTCCATATCACACACACACTCGCACACGGCTCACTCCCTCTCGCCGCCGACCATCTCACACACCTCCCTCACACGCCCACCACCTGCATCGGCCGCTGCTGTGCTGCCACACACCACACTCTCTCTGCCTCTCTCTCGCTCTCTCTCAATAAATACACACTACACACACTCGCACATCTCACACCTGGCCCGCGATGCGTGCTTGTGGATGTGGTGGGCATCCTTGGGTGGATGTGGACGACCCAGCCGACCAGGGCCCTTCGCCTCTCTCGCGCCTCCTCTCCTCCCCCTCGGTGCCAATGCCGGACTACAGAATACATTGTCTTGCCCTTTTTCTACCTCGTATGCCCCTCTCCTCCTCTGCTTCTCCTGCTTCTGTCCCACCATACTATGCCTTCTCTTCAAGAACATATCCCCCCTTCGCCAAACTCGTCCTACGAGGGCAGAGTCCCATTTCCAACTGAGCTTTCTTGTCTCACCTCTCGTACCCTTCTCGCTTCCCGCAATCTCATCCACCCATCTCAACCTCTCTCTTAATAAACCCTCCATATCCGCCGACCCTCTCTTGTTGTTGCTTTCCTCATCGCTCCAGCAAGCCCACCCTTCTCCGCAAAGCTTTTCTCCTACTTGCTCCCAAAGAGCCTCTTCCCATTCCTTTTGTACATTGCTCCTTACTCGAGCCCGTCTATCGCTCTTTGCATCTGCTTTCCTTGCTGCCATCAAGTACTCCGACATCGACATACTTGTGCTGCGCCTAGCACCTTGAAATACATTACCCAGCAGCATTTCAGGCAGCATTCCATTCCCTTCAAACTAAAAATCAGTCGCCGTCATGGGTCCTTTTGCGTCAAACAACTGGGCTGGCTGGCCCTACGCTGCCGTCAGCGATCCCTTCGCCACCGCTGCCGCCTACTCCCACATCACAAACGCCAACTATCCCCCATATGTGGCCGATACCATGGACGTATATCAGGCTCACCACCAACGCCTGCTTAACCAGCAAATCCCTCGCACTACAGAATCCAAGCCTCGTCTATCCAAGGAGGAAGTTGAAGTTCTCGAGGCCGAATTCCAAAAGAACCACAAGCCCAACAGCACAACAAAAAAGGCTCTTGCCGAGTCGATGCGAGTAGACAATGCTCGTATCAACGTAAGTTGCTTCTGATTCGGGACTTGCACAGTCTTTCTCAACGACATTTCCAACTAACACGCAAAAGAACTGGTTTCAAAACCGCCGTGCCAGGGAAAAGAAGGAAAAGAATATTAGAGAGTACGAGGCCAAGCAGAGACAGGAAAAGGAAAAGGCCGTGGCTGAGGGTGCCATTGTCGGTGGTGATCGCAAACGTGATCTAGTTGCCTCTAGTGCTCCATTCCCGGGCGCCCAAGCTGCATTACACACTCGCGATGGCTCAAATTCTCCAGTGAGCTCTCCCGATGCTGCCGGACTCGACATGGTCAGGTCAGACGATGTCGTACCTTCCATGGAGACTACCTCGGACCTCATTGGCGAGGTCGCTTCCTTTTCTCCAGACAAATCAACTAGAGATGACTGCGAAGACAAGTCGCCAGAGGATACGCACGACCATCTCTCGGCTTCTGATGCAAGCGCCGATGGCTTTTCCATCAGCGAGAGTGAGCTATACATGCCCTTGGACGACCGCAGCCCTAGCCAGATGCTCGGCTCTGATTACCACGGCATGGTCGCTGGAGCTTCCAAGGTCAACGCTTCCATGGTCGCCGGTGGCATTGAAATGGAGCAGCATGATTTTAGCCTGGACGATCGCGAGATGTCCCTGAGCCCAACCTCTCAACTTCCGCCCGGCATGCATCTCAGGTCTCCTCCTTGCATCGAACTTGCCTCTCGCCGCAACAAACGCCCGACTCCCCTGTCAATCAACGCTGCTCGCGTCGGCACACCGGGAGCCGGGGTTCCTAGAACCGCCATCGGCATCAACAGGATGGCCGAAACTGCCAGCTTTATGCGTAGAACTTCGTCCGCTTCGAGCTCTGGACGCATCTCCAAGCCGACCACTACGCCTCGCAATATGTTTAGCATGCACCGCTCGCCTTCATCGACTGGTGCTGCTAGCTCCATGGCTCCTCCGACGCCCGACACCCCCATGGTTGCTAATGCTCACGGGATGAATGACCTGGCCCTGTTGGGCCCCTTCTCGCTGGAGACCAAGGCGGCGGGCTTCAATTCGCACGATCCCACGCTGTCGACACCTCCAAGCACCCCCGGCAACATGGACAGCATGTACAACATGCACTCGGCATACACCATGGGTATCTCGGAGGATTATCTCGTCAACACGGGTCTGTCTAGTCTTCCTCAGTCCTTTGACCTGACGGCCATGTCTGTGCCTGGATACGTCAACAGCACTGGTGTCCCGGTCCAGCAAGGCGCCGAGATGTACAACCAGGAAAGCAGCCCTGACTATATGGGCCTCTACGGCAACGCCGGCTGGTCTAGCGTTTAGACCCATCGTGGCATCTAGCCAGAAAAGCGAGTACTTATTTTTTATTCCTCGACCAAGATGTAACAGCGTCGGCATCTTGATCTGACATTTATCCGACGACGGTTCGTTGTCACATATACCCACCTTTGGCTACAAACTTGGTAACCTTGGACATTCGGGCCGGGGCACACTGTATACTACGATTCGCATGGGGCCAAAATTTGCCGTCTGGCACCAAAAGCCATCTGTTTTGACGGTGGCTCTACTGGCTGGCAGGCCGACTGGCTGCGATGCACGCGACCACTACTAATGTAATGACCCGACGACTTGTTCTGTGGTTGATTATCTTTTTTTTTTTCCTCTATACATAACCACTTTTTTTCAGGGTATATCCGGGACTTTTTGGCGTTTGGTATTTTAAGGGCTTGTTTTCTTATATCGGAAAAGGATTCGGAATTATTCATTGCTACTGGGCGTTTTCTGGCAGTTGATGCATTCGAGGTTTTGGTCAGCTAATGTGGGCGAACATTGCTGGAGAGGAAAAGTTGGCCATGGTTTATGAGTGGAAGTCGCAGAATTCAAAATTTTATTCTCATGTGCACAACATATGCCCGTTTCTATTTTATTATTTCTTCATTGCGACCTTGTTGACACTAATTTTACACTAAAATCTGGCACTGTCAGGACTCTAGAACGCCGGGGCCGGCATGCACACAGTCACGGCGCATACCGTCAAAGACTCCGCTAGATAGCCAAAATCCCAGCTTCGAAAAGGGCTCACAAGACGCCGAATTCGAAACAAGCTTTGGCAGGCCGCCTATTCAAATGGTGACCTGATACTTGCGAACTTACGTGCTAAAAGCGGTGCTGCGAAAAATAAAAATAAAAAAATAAAAATAAAAACAATCCTTTGCTTTAAGTGGTGGTTGTGGTGATATCACCGTCTAGGCGGGCGAGCACATATATGATACATGGCAGCGATATGTGGGTTGTAATGGGAAAGGATTTTCGATCTGCACGACATCCCGATCTGGGCACCATCTCTTTTTGCTTTATTAATTAAAAAAAAAACCCCCCATGCTCATTGATGATTGGTTTTAAAAAAACGGGGGTGTGTGCCTTTGATGGGAGGGATTTTCCTTCCCATTCTTGGCTCAGGACTTGACTCTGAGCCCGGAGCCACGTGGCGGAGGCGAGCAGCGGCGGCGACGATTTGAGCGCACGGGAAAAGCAGCGCACGCCCCCCTTTCTCAGATTTCATAGATTTGCCCGCCGCGATGGGGCGGCGCGAGGCTACGGAGGAAAAAAAATTAAAAAGAGAGATGGATTGGCTGTGATGGGAAAAGATCGGCGCTTTCGGTTTTTTGTGTGTGGGGATAAGGCTGCCGGCCCATGGCTGAAGAAGTGTGCTAGTTTTTAAAGGGCTTGTTTTCGTCCATCTTTTTTTTTACAGAAGTACTGGCATTTATGGGACGGAAACGGATGAATTTCTTTGATTGCTCCGATTTGAACAAGTGATCTTGTATGTGGACAGAAGTTCGACTTGGCTACGCGTGGTGGTGAGTCAAAAACGGGGCCGTTGACCTTGTCGTGATGCTCCGTGCTTGGGCGGCTTACCCGGTAGAATTGTCGATGTGTCGTTTGCAGCACCCAGCGGCGCGAAAAAGAAAAAAAAAAGTAGCGGATTGCTTTGTACCTTTTCTGGTTTGGCTTGGAACTTAAAGTGTGTCTTTTGTGTTTTGATGGATTTCCTGTGCTGCGTTGGTGACCTGAAGTTGTGTATGACATGTGGTAGGTGTTGCTGGAAGTAAAAGCACAGATTGGTAGTCGGCGATGTACGCTGTGGTATCTCACCATTACCATGATCAACCCTGGGATCCCAAAGATTAATATCTGTAAGAACTGGCCAACATACAAAGATGATGGTGAGAGGAGCATGTCAACTCAACATGTCGCTAAACGCTGACCCAAAGAGTGCGTCACTGGAGCATATTCATATGGGTGCACTTTTATGGTGGCCCGCTGCCAGCCTCTAGGTACCCGAGCGATTGTAGAAGCCCAAAGATGCAGAATATTAGGAATTTGCAATCATTACAAAATGCTGTATGAACAGTACAGTACTTGTCTCCCACCAACGTCTCTGCACATTTTTTTCCTGTCGCTCATCGACAGGAGCAGGCATAGATACAGATGCCCCACTACCACTGTTCCAGACGACGCGTCCAACCGCGCCGGTAAGCTTTTCTCCACCAAAACCACCACACACGGTATTAGACAACATACCTCGAACCATTCGTATATGCATCTGTATATCTGCAACCAACATATTATACTGCTCCAGCCGCCAGCTATTCAACGAATATACTCGAGACTCGCACGCAATGGCCGACGAATGAGCTGCCACCCGTGCTCATGTCCTCCTCTGCCGCCCCGGACGACAGGGGCGCGTCACGTCCTCGCTCCGGCATCCTCACGCCGAGCTCAGACGGAAGCCTCAACCATGCCGGCGACAAAGCTGCCGTATCCACCGTCTCCTCGCCCGCGGATCGGTGCAGGCGACGTTCCGATCCGGCCATGGAGAGACTGCTCAGACCGTCTATAGCCGTCAAGGTGAGAGAGAGTTTCCTCCTGGGCTTGTCTTCTTCCGCCCCTCCCCCGACGACATGTTGCTGACGCGCGCAAAAAAAAAAATTGCAACAACAACGCAGCCGCACCCGCACGCCCTTTCTGTGCAGCCCAAAACGCTATCGCCTCTGTTTGTGCTGCGGCGGCAGGACCTGCCGCTGAGCTGCATCGACTTTGGCTCCACGACGGCCGAGAGCGCCTACACCCGCCTCGTCGAATCCCGCATCAAGATTCTCGACCTCGAGACCCGCATAGGCGCCGCGCGGAGCGTGCTGGTGGCCCGGCACGAAGCTACGCGTGCTGTCTACGCCGTCGAGCGGTACGCCGACGGCCTGTATGCCATGTGCAGACTCGGCGCCTGGGTCAGCGTCGAGCGGCTCGCGCGGGACGCGGCGACTGCCGTGTGCGCGGAGCGTGTGTTTCCCGTCAAGGCCGAGACGTCGTCGTCGCCGTCAATCGCCGCCGCCGCCGCCATGACGACGACGACAACAACGACGACACTGCGCATGGACAGTCCGCAGAGGAAGAAGCGCGCCGCGATTGAGGCGATTCAATCGCTGGTCCGCAAGAAGCCCAAGGCGGAGGCGAGGACGTCAAGCGACGGGGTCACGGCGCCAGAGGTGCCGCCACGGTCATCGGATCAGATGCTTGCGCACGTGAAGCAGAGTGTGGAGGAATCGCCAATGCCGGAAATCATGATTCGGCATGTCAAGAAGGGAGAAGAGGAGTTGCCGATGCCCGAGATTATGATTCCGCACATTAAGTCGGCACGAGACGAGAAAACGCCCGAGATCATGATTCGGTATGTCAAGGGAGAAGATGAGGTGCCGATGCCCGAGATCATGATTCCGCACATCAAGACGAGACCAGACGAGAAAACGCCCGAGATCATGATTCCTCACGTCAAGGCTTCGCCCGACGAAACCCAGATAGTGCAAAGCAGCAAAGCCAAGGCTCATTTCCCCGTCAGAGAGACTCAAGGAGAAAGCTCGGCGATGGGCGCGGTATCAGCGCTCCCCTCGAGCCAAATTCATATCCGAGCGATCGACGATGACACTCAAGACATGGCTACCAACATATTTGAAAATATGCGAGCTCATTATTTCGAAGCATTATACAAGTCTATGGTGAGTGCTTGTCGTGCCATACCCCTACATCATCATTCTAATCCGACCCACGCAGGGATCCCTTGCATATTTTGCCAAAGGTCCTCTATCACGAGCTAGATCAGCCTTCCACCTTGATCTCGAGGCGACTCTCGACATGGCCGACCTCATCGAATTCCTCAAGAGCCTGGTTCTCACCACTGTACAAGTCGACAAGAAATACCGTGAAACTGCGCCAGACATCATCTCTCAAATAGCCGCCCCCGTGGATAGCTCCGACGAGGCTCGCTCCAAGAAACGCAAGCCCAAAAAGATGAAAATAGGCAAGAATGGTCTCTATCCTGATGAAGATGACCGTATTCGAAAGTGGTGGAATGCCAACAAGCCCGAGCTCGACGAGGAGCAGCCCACATATACTGCCATGCAAATCAAGTCCCATCTGTCACTGCTTCGCACCCGTGAGACGCAGCTGCAAATGATTCTGATCTTGGAGATCCTGGCCCTTGAGCCGCTCAAAGCTGCAGACGATGCAGCGGACAGTAGCCTTCCTCTACTGCCTGGCGCCTCCGCCTCGCAAGCTCATCGCTCACCTGCGGTTGCCCCAGCAAAGAAAAGAAACAAGCATAACTTGCCGGTTCTCATCGATGTTCACGCCGACCGTTTGACGATCTGGCAGTCGACTGCCACAGACGAGCAGCAATTGGCAGAGGAGTCACAGGTTAACAGACACAGTCTCAGTGGCAGCCTAGTGCAAATATCATCCTCGGAGCCACTGAAAGATTTTTGTACCGATGTTATTGTACCATTGTAAGTTGCCATGTGCCAAACAACCACTACTCATCGTTGGGACTGACGGCTTCTAGCTTCTCGGCACGTATTCCCGAAATGTGCGACGCAATCAGTAGGAAGCTTGGCGGCCCTGTGATTGTGCCTGCAAGTGGCAGCAAAACCCAGAAGCGCTCCGCACCCAAAAAAGAACAGAAACCTGGCTCTGCGACCAAGAGACCCGCCGCTGTCCAGCGGCCAAGGACACTCCAGCGCGCGTTATCAACAGATCAGCAGAGCCGCAGGAGCGTGTCTCGCGGACCGAGCAACGTGATTGCTCTCCTGCGATCTGCCACCTCGACCTCGCTACCTTCGATGAAGCGCGAGGGAAGCGAGACTGCCAATCTCGGGCGCCTGTCCAAGATGGAAGGCGACAGTCAGAGAAGACCGGCGCTCTCGCGCAGCAACAGCAGCGGCGTGGCGGGCCACGACACATCCAAGGCGAGTAGACAAGCTTTGGTTGACGCCCAGGTCAAAGATGCTATTGCTGCGTTGCGTAAACCGAATAGACAAGTTGTTGGCCAAGCTATGCAAGAGGCCGACCAGCAAAGAGTCCTCGCGGCGAAGAGTGAGTGCAGCTTCTTGCCCTGATCGACAGCACAAGACTAACAATGATGCAGAAACCCGCAGAATGCAGCGAAGTACTATCGTCAAGGCAACGCCCGCCAACAACAGATTCAGGGACGTTTATGCGTATAGCCAGGGCCAACCTGGTTTGCCTATGCAACACATTGAGGAGGCCGTTGCGCCTTCAAGTGTAGAAGCTTTTATCCCATCGACCGGCCATCGGACTGGCTTCCGGAACCCCATGGACCTCAACACATCCCCAACGATTGACACGGTGGGCAGCACCCCGTCGAAACGAGCAACGAAGTCAACGTTTCTGCATCGCTCCAACGACGAGCTTTGCCTTCCGCCCTCGCCTTTGGTGCGGACCAGCAACAACCCAACGCCTCGCCCTCTCTCTTCCAGTCTGAGCACGAATAAACAGCCGCAACTAGCCAAGGCTGACGAGGGAGCTGCGAAGCAGTATGAGACAAGGGACCACGTCTTTGCGACGCCTGCCAAAAAGGAGAAGCACCAGCAAGTGCTCAGCGGCAGCCCTGTCGGGCAGCTGCGATTGCAGGGCCAGAGTGAGCCGAAAAAATCCATCTACGCGACGCTTGGCTGGGACGACGACTATGACATTTAGATTAGCGAAACCTGGCAGAAAACAAAAAAGGCCTGCTTTATCCTATGGGAATATATTTGGTGGAATTTTTACAATTTGGTTTTCTCATGCATGCCCGAGAAAACACATTATCCGGAGTTTTATTTATTTCAGCATGGCAGTTATTTGGAAAAAATGCATGGGCACGCATCATTTTGGACGTGTTGGCATCGGTGTTGTCTTGTTTGTTGTTTGTACTGGCATATCGCATGGATGTGTGAATACATGCACCGGCGAGACTACGTCGTTGAAGGGAAGCGAAGTCACCTCATTTGATACAATAATACAATCGCTAGCGAGCATTACTTGATACAATTCTGAAAAAAAAGAAAAAAACGATCCACCTTTTCTCTTCCTTGATGACATGTCCATTTTATCTAAACTTGATTTCTTTGGGGCTTCTTCTAAATCTCATGCGCCGAGCGGCTCAATCACCGTTGTCGGCAAATCTTTAATGTCGACGTGCTCCTGGGATCCTAGATCCACGACGCGAATGGCTTCGATACCGGCGATGCCCGGGCGCAGCGCGAGAAACTGCAGTTCGACAATGTGGCAGGCGCCAGGGCTGAGTGGCCCGACGCGCGTGTCGGCGCTCAGGCACACGAGGTCGGCGCCGTCGACCGTGGCGTTCTTTTGCAGCGCGTGCAGCACGTTGTCGTCGACGACGGCGGCGGCCACGTCCGGCTCGCCGTGGCGCCGTGAGGCCGTCGATGGAGGGCGCAGCGAGGACCGCGCCTCGTGTCGGCGCCGCCGGGGAATAGCGACGAGGGCTAGTTTGCGTGCGGTCTTGGCGGCGGTGGCGGGATCGTTGCCGTCGTCGCCGCCGTCGCCGCCGCCGCCGCTTGTGCGGTTGAGGACGTAGACGGTCCAAGAGAAGACGTCGCCGGGGCGCACAGCGGCGGCCGGGCCGCTAAACGACATGGTAATGCCGAGCTCGGGGACGGCGGCGGTGGGGGTAGCGGTTGGGGTGGTGGAGGACGATGAGGCCTCGAGCAGTGGAAGCGCATCGGGTCGCATGATGGACGGCGACTTGAGGGGCGTGACGGCAGATAGGGACGCGGTGCTAGCGAGGGAGAGCTGCGCGGGGCGGTGCGCGCGCTGGATGCCCGTCTCCGTGGCCGCGCCGAAGCTCGGGTTGAGCGGCGCACTCAGGTCAAGACCCGCCGTCCAGGCCATGTCAATGCGCGGAGTGCAGCGAGCGCCCGGCGCGACCTGGATGACGGCCGAGACGGCAATGTGCAGCGCGTTGTTAGCGTCCCTGGCGTTGACGTCGAGGCGGTGCGGCCGCACGGCGTACATGAGGGTGACGTGGTCGTGCGCGACGCAGCGGAGGGGCAGCGCGAGCGCGGCGGGCTCATAATCGTCGCTGCTACTGCTCAGGCTCTCGACAGTGCCAGCTGATGTCGTCAGGGCGACCTTGTCGACGACGGCCTCGTAGTCGAGGTCAGGGGTGAAGTCGAGCTCGAGAAGGGCGACAACGGTGCTGGTCGGGGGAGCGGCAGCACCGGGCCGGACGAAACGGATGCGGGCGTGCACGAGCGCGGCAACGGGCAGCTGCAGCTGCGGCAACGTGCGCAACCGCGTCAGAAGGTCCGGCGGGCGAGTGACGGGGACGACGCGGGACACGCGCAGCGCCGACAGCCGGGGCCGCACGCCGTGCAGGCCCGGGTCGCCCGCAAACGACTCGAGCAGGTTGAGGCCCGACGGCACGCCGCTCTGCAGGTAGCCCGCCGCGCGGGCCTGCTCGGGTGACGGCGACTGCTCGGGGCGCACGCCCGCCGAGGCCGACAGCACGATGGAGGGGCGGTGCAGGCGCATGCGCGGCCGCGAGAGCGGCACCGCGAGCTTCCACACCGCATAGAGGTACCGCGTGGGCGTTTCCGAGTCGGAGTCGCTGCCCGCTTCCTCGTCCACGACGACAAAGGGATCGCTAATGTCGGAGACGGCCCCGACAAAGATGGACTCGGAAGCGGGGGTGGCGTCGCGATTGGCGGCGGTTGGGCTGTTGACGACGTGCGCGGCCAGAGAGATCATGAGCCTCTGCAGGCTAGACTGGAGCTCCTTTTCTTCCACCCATGGCGTTCTGAGGATGAGCAAGACTTGCACGGTTTCATCTGAGAGGTTGGTTAGTGGCGCGAGTGAGAGAAGGGCGGGGGGGGAAGACTGGGCTGGGGTACCGAAGAAGAGCGTCTCGCGTTGCGGTATCGATGCTAGTATTGATTTCCCTTGACCCAGATCACTAAACGCCTCATCGAGGTTGATGTCCGTGTCGGAAGGCACCAAGTAGGTGAGATACGACTGATCTGTGAAGCTCCCCGAGTTGTCTCGCGGTATGGCTTGTGACGCTTGTGACGGTGGTTGGTCTTCTGATGCTTTCGCATCGACTTCCGACATGGTGCGTCGATCTGTATATAATCTGGAATTATGAGGAAACCATAGGTGTGAACAGCTATCAGAAGAGCCACTCGATCCTAAACATGTGCCCCAACCACTTTGAATACGATAATGGCATTGCTGCGGCATCACTTGGCAACGCCCCTTGGCGTTCAAGCTACGACCAGCAAGCGTTGTGAGATGATGTGGCGCAATTGGCTGTGGCTGGTGGAAAAGTGGCTCGTGCGCTTTCTATCATTGCTTGGTGGCAGAAAATTACCAGCCCGTCTGGCAAACGAGGTTGGCGGCTTGCTACTGCACATCTTCGACTGTTGCTTGATTCGGCCCTTTCGCATCCCCAGAATTATCGGCACTGCTGTCGCAAGTCTTCCTGGCAGCTATTTCGATATTTAAAAGGCCCTTGCAAGTCAAACATGAACGGATACGGCGGCCATCAGGCGCCTCCGGTGTCGACATGGGCAGAGCATCATACGCCGGATGGACGAGCCTACTACTACAACAGTGCAACCCAGGTGACGCAATGGACGAAGCCGGAGGAGATGATGACGCCGGCAGAGGTTCGTATTCAAAACCCCCTCAAGTCTACCGGGCTCTGGTGCCACGACTAACTGTTATACGCAGCGTGCACTGTCGTCGCAGCCATGGAAAGAGTACACGGCCGAGGGCGGGCGCAAGTATTGGTACAATACCGAGACTAAGCAGAGCTCCTGGGAAATGCCCGAAGTCTTCAAGGCTGCCCTTGGCCACAACAGCGTACCTGCTGCGACGCCCTACAACCAAGGCAACGCGCAGACAGGATACGACTCTCACCGCGACCCTCGTGATGCCCGCGACCATCGCGACCGAGGAGACCGTCGTGACCGAGGGGACTACCGCGATCATCGAGACCACCGTGATTACCGCGATCGCGATCGCGATTCATATGCCGATGCACGACAGCTTGCCGCTCCTATCGATCCCAAAGTCAAGGCGTTCGTGCCTGCCAACGACGATCCCGACTACGCTACATTGGAAGAAGCAGAGGCTGCTTTCGCGAAACTTCTTCGCCGTAGTGGTGTGCAGCCAGATTGGAGCTGGGAGCAGGCCATCCGCGCCTCGGCCAAGGACCCTCAGTTCCGCGCCATCAAAGACCCCAAAGACCGTCGCGCTGCCTTCGAAAAGTACTGCCAGGATGTCGTCACGCAGGACAAGGAGCGCGCTGCAGAGAGAATGGCAAAATTGCGGACCGATTTCGAGACCATGTTGAAGCGTCATCCCGAGATTAAACACTATACCCGCTGGAAGACTGCGCGACCCATTATTGAGGGCGAGACCATCTTCCGATCCACGAGTAACGAAAACGAGCGGAGACACCTGTTTGAAGAGTACATTCAGGAACTCAGAAAAGCACACAAAGAGAAGCAGACAAGTCTTCGGAAGAGTGCAATGGATGGACTTCTGGAGCTGTTGCCAAAGCTTGACCTGGAGCCATACTCCTCCTGGTCCGAAGCTCAGGCGACTCTCTCATCTACACCGACCTTCCAAGATGAAGAGAAGTATAAGTCTCTGACCCAATATGATATATTAACAGCGTTCCAAAATCACATGAGGGCATTGGAACGCGCTTTCAACGATGCCAAGCAAGAAGAGAAGAACAAGGCGCTACGTAGAGAGCGCAAGGTGCGAGAGGCATTCAAGTCTCTGCTTGTCCAACTACGAAGTGATGGAAAGATCAAGGCCGGAGTGACATGGTCACAGATCCTTCCGCTTATCGAAGAGGACGAGCGCTACATTGCCATGGCTAGCAACGAACCCTCCAAAGGCTCGACTGCGCAGGAGCTCTTTTGGGACGTTGTGGAAGAAGAGGAACGCAACCTGCGCGGCCCTAGAAATCATGTGTTAGATGTACTCGAAGTAGGTACTCGAGGTACTAAACAAAGCCAAATACTAACTTTTACAGGACAAGCGGGTTGAGATTACACCCACCAGCGAATTAGAGGAGTTCATGTCCATTATGAGGGATGATCGACGCACTGCTAACATTGATCCTGATCTTCTTAAACTCCTCTTTGATCGGGTAAGCCACACCCTTAACCTGCCCACATTGTACAATACTGACCAGATGCCAGCTGCGCGAAAAGCGAAACGCGAAACGCGACGAACAGCCTGAGCGCCACCAGCGCCGAACAATGGACGATCTCCGCGTCCACCTGAAGCGCATGGATCCTCCCGTCACACTCGGTGACACTTTTGACAAGGTACGACCACGAATACTGAAGGTTGCAGAATTCCAGTCGCTCCCAGACGATGCCCTCCATAGCGTCTTTGACAGACACATGCGTCGGCTCCGCGAAAAAGACGAGGAGATGGAACGAGGCGCGCGGCGCTCCAGCGAGCGCGAAGTGCCTCGCCGCGACGGAGATCGCGCGCGCAGCGAACGCTCGCACCGAAGCGGCGGTGGTGGACGGCGACGCAGCCGCAGTCCCGAGCTGGATCCCTACGAGGCAGACCGGCGCAAGGCCATTGCCGAGCGCGAGCGCAATCATCGTAAGTCCACCATGGCCGAGTCTCTACTGGCTAGTGAGCGAGCCGGCGGCGGCCGGCCCTCGCCGCCGCCGCCAGCACGCCGCGAACGCGACCGTGACTCGCGCGACTATGACCGGCCGAGCCGCTCACGGCGCGATCTCGACGATCGCGACTACGACCGGCGCGACAGAGAGGAGGAGAGGGACCGGTACCGCCGCAGGGGCGCGGATCGAGGTTCGTATGACGAGCTCCCCTATGGTGATGAACGCCCGGCTGGCTCGCGCCGCCGCCGCCAGGACGAAGAGGATGATAGAAGAGATTCCAAGGTATGCTACACCGCCCCTGCCACCACATTTTTGGAAATAAACCGTGACATGGTTGCTAACGTCCTCTACAGAGACCTAGAAGAGATCGCTCGCGCGAACGCACACCCCCTCGCGGCGAGCGCCCGAGGGGCAAGACTCCTCCTCCTGCTCCTCGCGCAGCAGCGGCCGCCGCTCCAGACACCGCGGGTAAGGACAAGGATGCCGAGATGCTGAGCGGCAGCGAAGAGGGCGAGATTGAGGAGTAAGAAACAAAAAGCAAAATCCCGAAATTGAAAATTCAAAAGGATTTGATTCGTTTCATCCTTGGCAAAACTAATCGACATTGGAAGACGTTCTATGAACGCGTCCATTGCGGAAACAACGCTGTTTAGCACTTTTTGTACGCCATTCCTTCATACCTCTTCTTCTCTTACCCATCATCTAGGAGTCGTGTCGTATCAACCTGATCGTAGAAGCAGATGGCGCTTAGTAGTATACACATTGAGAAAGAGAGATTTTTAAATGCGGAGAGTAATATGAGCATTCAAAATTTTTTACAACATTGATTCGAGGGCACAGATGTGAAAGGTGAAAATTTATGCTAAATTGAATATATTTCGATTTATGGACTAGTGGTCATGTAACTTTTACTCATCAATAATACGGGCCCGTCTTCCTGCGAGGATAGGATGCGGGCCTATATATGGCTTGGGGCAAGCAGTCCTCCCATATCAATCCATTGTCCCTCAATCTGCCACGGATTAGAGTACAGTCGCAAACTGCGACAGAGTCATACTCTGATACTGAATCATGGCAGGACCAGACAACGGGGTAAAGGCTGCTTGCCGCCGGGGTCAGTCGTCCGGCTCGTCTTCCTCGCTGGCGCCGCCTTCTGGCGCGGACGCATCTTGGCGCTCCAGAGTAACCTGGGTTTCTAGTGTGCAATGTGCTTCACTGCCGCCGCTACCGTGCATCTGCTCATTCGGCGACTGCTGGTAGTGGGGAGGAGCTTTATCCCTGTAGATGCCCTTTTCAAGCAGTGACCTTATCATCGTTGTCATCCAGGAAAAAGTAGTTGCCATTCAGCTTCTGCTCCTGATCCAGCTGAGAGTCCAGCTTGTTGATGCGAGGGCGATAATTGGTGGGATCACGACGGAAGGTGACGTCGAGGTTCTTGAGGAAAGTGTTGCAGCCGGTAAGTAGAGACTCAGGAGTGTTGGCGTGAGAGTCAATACCGGGCTTGCCGTCAAAGACAATGACGCGGTCAGCGAGGTAGGTGGCCATGATAAAATCGTGCTCGACGATAAAGGCAGTCTTCTTGTTGTGCATGATGAAGCGCTTAATGACACGCGAGGCAATGATACGCTGCTCGGAGTCAAGGTAGGCAGAGGGCTCGTCAATCAAGTAGATATCGGCAGGGAGACCAAGGGACAGGACAATGGCAACACGCTGCAATTCACCGCCAGACAGGTTTTTGACTTCCTGATCGATGAAGTCGTCGAGCTTGAGGGGCTTGACAACGTCGGTCTGGAACTGAGGAGAGAGAAAGGCGGCCTTGATCTTCTTGAAGAAAAGCTGGCGGACAGTACCGTCAAACTTAGGAGTAATGGTCTGCGGCTTCATGCTGATTCTCATCTCAGGAACGCCAGCCTTGGTATCGGGCTTGAGGGCACCGGCGAGCAGACGACAGAAGGTGGTCTTGCCAGTGCCGTTCTCTCCCATCATGACAATGATCTCAGAATCGGTGAATTCACCAGAGTCGATGCGGAGACGGAAGTTGCCAAGAGTCTTCTCCATCTTGGGGTATTTGAAGGCGCGAGAGCGGTCCAGGGCATACTCGTCAGCGCCTTCGGCAATGCGGAAAGTCAGAGACTCGTCACGGAAACGCAAGTTCTCAGTAGGAATGTGGCCGTCGAGGAAGATGTTGATACCTTCACGGACAGAAGAAGGCAGAGTCACCACACCGTAGATGGCGGGCTTACCGTACAGAACGCAAATAAAGTCGGAGAGGTAGTCAAGGACGGATAAATCATGCTCGACAACGATGATGTAGTCATTGTCGCGGAGAAGCGAGCGGATGATTCTGGCGGCGGAGAGACGCTGCTTGACATCGAGATACGAGGAAGGCTCGTCAAACATGTACACATCGGCATTCTGGACGCAGACAGTACCAATGGCGAAACGCTGAAGCTCACCACCGGAAAGGAGGTTGATGTCACGATCCATGATGTGGTTGAGCTCGAGTACCTCGGCAACCTCCTTCATGTTGTTGAGGGAGGCACGGCTTTCGATGAGGTGGCGGACGCTCTTCTCAGGGCCACGGACGGCCTTGGGGATCTGATCGACATATTGAGGCTTTACAACAGCCTTCAGGTCATCCTCTAGAAGCTTGGTGAAGTAGTCTAATTGGGATTTAAGTCAGCTATCGTGTGTAAAAGAATGCATGAGAAAGCAAATAAACGTACTCTGGAGCTCGGAACCACGGAAATGCTTGATGACGTCCTCCCAATCAGGAGGATTATCGAAGCGGCCCAGGTTAGGTTTGAGCTTGCCGCTGAGAATCTTAAGAGCGGTACTCTTTCCGATACCGTTGGTTCCAACAAGGCCGAGCACCTGGTTAGGACGAGGCATAGGCAAGCGGTGGAGCTTAAAACTGTTGGGGCCATAACGGTGGGTGACCTGGCTCTCGAGGTTGGTGGGCAGGTTGATGATGGTGATGGCGTCGAAGGGGCATTTCTTGGGGCAGATACCGCAACCAATGCAGAGCGACTCGGAGATAAAGGCGAGGCGGGAGTCAGGGGCGACTTCAATGCAGAGCTTGCCACTGCGAACGACAGGGCATGACTTTTTGCACTCCTGTCTGCACTTTCGTGGACGACACTGTGAAGACAATCAGTACGGCGGGGTAGTTGGGGGATTGACTGGCGAGCGGGGGCGTACTTTGTCGCTGTTGACAATGGCGATACTAGAGTGATGCGTCAGCGGTTGCGGACTTAGACTTTTTGCGCGCAATTTCTGCAACGACGCACAGCAGCTGCAGCTTACCGGGTGAGTTTGTCGACCATGATGGCTGTGGTGGTGGCTGTCGATGGTGGGGTAGTGAAGTTTTTGACGGGATTTTATGTTTTTATGTGCTGAAAATGGAAGACAAGGCAAACGAGCTAGAACAGGGCGGAACGACGTATAAAGTAAAGTCGTATGCGTAGAACAATGACCAAAGCACACAGTAGGCGCAACGGCAAGTCTTGAAGAGTGTTTGGACGATGGTGGCAGGGGAAAGAGGAAAAGAAGAAGAACAAAGGTGCGGTAAACGGTGGCCGCCGTAGTGGCATGGTCATCAATTTTTCGTGCCTCGTGAATCGTCGCTTTGGCGGGGCAGGGCAACAGTGGGCGAAGCTGGATACAGTGGGCTTTTCTCGGTGTGAGGAACAGGACGTGTTAGCAATTGAACTCTGGATGAGTATTTTCTGGGTGTTTAAGAGTGACGAGAGTACTTTTGTAAAGGATCTGCGCTATCTACATGGGCCTGGCTCCCTGGACGACCAGCAAGGTGCGGGAATTGAGCGAGCAACCGTGACAACAGAAGAAGAATGGGTTGTCTGGATATGGTATTGTACTCTGCATTGAATTTGATTTCATTCGGACTGCTATGAAAAAAACACTGGTATATTTTCAGCACCTAGTACGAGCGTGTACACTTGTCGTGTGTCGGTGCTTGGGAAGTGGTTGCAAGTTCCGAGCGGCTTTTAAGAAAGGCTTTTCTATAAATGAGACACACGTAGCACAGAAAAGCTTGATTATAACCTATAGATGTGTACTTGATTTGCGTGATTGCATAGCCAAGTATCGAGGTCGTATTTATCGAAATTCATGGTAGCACACCACCTGCATGAGGTCACGCTGTATGAGAGCCTGGTACCATTTGCCAGGCACCAGGGAGTTTCCAAGGAGGTGTAATACCCGAGATGGCACGGCAAACCTAAGCAGCAACACAAAAGTTAAAAAAAAAAAGCCCCATTACCAGCCTGTAAACTGTAAACTGTAGTATAACACTGCTGCTTTCATTTCGTCAGCGAAGTCTCGTTTGGCAATTCGAGCATTGCCTGGTACAAGAGCAATGTTGGTATGTAGTGGCACGTGACTGAGTCGCTTGTGGCACACGCACAGACAATTGGGAGGTGTATTGGCTCGCACCTGTAAGGCCTACCTGTGTATCTTCCTGTTTACTTGTTTACCTTTTACTTATTCACCTATTGCGTGTTTACCTGTTTCCTATTCACCTAACTCAGTATTGAATTCACCTATCCAGACAGTCAGGTACCTTTTTGCCTGGGTACCTTTTTGCCTGGGTACCTGGAGCCACCTGGGGCGTTTTGGCCGTGCTCAGTGCAGCGAGATTTTGTCTAGGCCTTGTACACCACCTGTACTCGTCGTAATAGCCTACCGTAACAGGCTGAACAGCGCATTATGCTTCTGTGGCACCCTTGTAACACTCCTGCCACCTGAGCGCCGCCAAACCTAAAATGGACTGGCCCCAACCCAGCCGTGCCTTCGGTTCTCCGCCCCGTCCGTCCCTCCATTTTCTTTCTGCTCTGCCTATGCTTTTTTATAACATTCGGCCGTCTCCAACCACGCTCCCTCGCTTCCTACCGATTCCCCCCACGATTCCCCGGAATAGTCTTGTTTCATACTCGGGCCTTTCTTCTAGTTCAGTCGACTGCTTGCCTTATTTTTATTCATGACAGGTATGTCTCCCATTCTTGCCTACAACCCCATCACTCTTGTCGCCAAGTGTACCAGCGCCAGATCTCGCCGATGCCCGGCTGCGACGCTTGATGGCGCGCCCTTGGCCGTCTGAGACGGCCAGGGTGGCTCTATCAAGGTCAATTCTTGATGAATTTCGTTGAATTTGATGCCATGGCTTCGAATACGTGCTTCTTTCAGCTGCAGCGCCTCTGCCAGCCCCCTCTCTGCCACGTCTCGACTCCTGCATCTCTATCCATCACCAGAGCTGGTATACCTGAGCGATACCGGCAATATTTCATCTCGATATGACTTTTACTTCTTATCTGGCTCGATTTACTCGATGATTCTGTCGCTCTGCTGCTCGCGCCCCTGGGCTATCATACAGGCGAGGGATATTCTGCTGACACCACTCTGGACACAGGACCTATCGATCGCTCGGCGAAATCACAACCATGTCTAGCCCTGCTTTGGGCAGTCCTATAAACGGACATGTGACCGAAGATGATGAAAACGATTCGCATAATCCCACACAACGCTTCCGAAGTAACAGCGATGCCTCCAATCGCTCTCTGACTCCGTCGCAACAACCGTCCCCCGCGGAGTCCTTCAGAGATGTCAGTCATGGCGCAAACAAGATCTCGGATGACGATCGCATGTCAGAGAGCGCGGAATCTAGCGCTGATGATGCGTCGCACGATGCTGATTTCGACGTGCACAATGAGCCCCCCTCTCCCAAGGATCACGACGCCGAGCCGCGTCGCCGAGCCAGTTCCAGCGACTCGAATCAAGCTTCCAAGCGAAAAGCCTCAGTCGACGAGGAAGAGTATATCAGAGCCAATCCGGAGCTCTATGGCCTGCGTCGTAGTGTATGCTATCCCTGCCACCTGAAAAATTTTCATCTTCCCCATTGGCGCTAACTTTGGATTGTAGCGACGCCCTCAACCGCAAATCAAGCTGGTATGTCGTCTGTGCATGTCAAAGCCAATCACTTTACTTATAGCTGTCGCATAGGCGGAATCTGATTCCGAATCCGATGCTGAACCCGTTAGCCGTCGTCAGATCAAGAGACGACGTGTTGATGACTCTCGTGTTTGTATGTCATGCTCTGCGATTCTTGAAGCTGCCATCCACCGACTGACAGAACCACTAGCCTCCAAGCGAGCAACCCCTGTGCTACAATTGTCGACCAATGATTCCGATTCCGACTCAGACACATACGGTGGAGCACGGGCAAAGAGTCAGATCAAACGAGCTCGACAACGCCTGGAAGCTCAGCCTGCTCTGGCCCTCACGGAGAAGCGCTGGTCTAGCCGACGGGCCGCGCAGCAAGTCCAACAAGGGGCCTACGAAGAGAGCGACGCCGAAGAAGAAGAAGAAGACACGGAAGTTGGTCAGGGTTACTACGTTGCCGACTATGTCGATGACTCACCCTACGTCGAAAAGGTCGTTAAACATCGCATCAAAGCCGATGCTGTTCTCGCTTTTGATTCCAGCCGACATGACTTTGAGTACTTTATCAAATGGCAAGGAAAGTCAAACTTGCACGACACGTGGGAAACCATCGACTCCCTTCGCAACGTGCGTGGTTTTCGCAAAGTCGAAAACTACTTTCGAAAGCTTGTCGAGTATGAACTCGATATTCGCTTTGGTGACGAAATGGCTCCAGAGACAAAGGAACAATACTTTCTCGACCGCGAACGTGACGAAGAGGCGTTCGAGGACTTCACCAAGGTTGAAAGAGTCGTCAATGTCCGCGAAGGAGAAGATGGCACCGAATACTTTGTCAAATGGAAGGGTCTCACCTACGAAGAATGCACGTGGGAACAGGCCTCTGCAATCAGCGCTCAGTTTCAAGACAAGATTGACCAGTATCTTGACCGAGCATCGAGACCATGGCATTCGGATCGCAAGGAAACCAACTTGGACACACGTTCTAGGATGACCAAGCTTGATGCCCAGCCCAAGTACATACAAAACGGCGAGCTGCGTCCCTTTCAGCTTCGTGGGCTCAACTTTCTCTGCCTCAACTGGTGCCGAGGCAACAATGTTATCCTTGCCGATGAAATGGGTCTCGGCAAAACGGTTCAAACTGTCTCGTTTCTTAGCTGGCTGCGCAACTGTCGCAAGCAAGAAGGGCCATCGCTTGTTGTTGCTCCTCTTAGTGTTATCCCAGCTTGGTGCGACACGTTCAATAATTGGTCACCAGACCTGAACTACGTCGTGTACCTAGGCCCTGAAGACGCACGTAACATCATTCGCGAAAATGAGTTGCTTGTTGATGGCAATCCCAAGAAACCAAAGTTCAATGTTCTCGTCACATCGTACGAGTTCATTCTTCAAGACTGGCAGTTTCTTCAGTCCATCAAGTTTCAAGTTCTTGCAGTTGACGAGGCTCACCGCCTCAAGAACAGCGAATCGCAGCTCTACATGCGCCTGGTTGGATTTGGTATTCCCTGCAAAGTGCTCATCACTGGAACACCCATACAGAACAATCTTTCGGAACTTGCTGCACTTTTGGACTTCTTGAACCCAGGCAAGGTGAAGATTGACCAAGACCTAGACACGCTCGCCGCAGTTGATGCACAGGAAAAGCTGCAGGAGCTACACTCCGCCATCGCGCCATATATTCTACGCCGAACCAAAGAGACTGTGGAATCTGATCTGCCACCAAAGACGGAAAAGATTATTCGCGTTGAGCTTTCTGATGTTCAGCTAGACTATTACAAGAATATCTTGACCAGAAACTATGCTGCGCTCTCTGATGCCAGCAGTGGTCACAAGAATTCGTTGCTGAATATCATGATGGAGCTCAAGAAGATCAGTAACCATCCCTACATGTTTCCCGGCGCGGAGGAGCGAGTTTTGGCTGGCAGCATCCGTCGTGAAGACCAGATCAAAGGTCTCATCACGAGTAGCGGAAAGATGATGTTACTGGATCAGTTGCTCTCCAAACTGAAGAAGGACGGCCACCGTGTTCTCATCTTCAGCCAGATGGTCAAGATGCTCGACATCCTTGGTGACTACATGTCTCTCCGTGGCTACAAGTTCCAGAGATTGGATGGAACTATTGCAGCGGGCCCCAGAAGAATGGCCATCAACCACTTTAATGCAGACGACAGCGAAGATTTTTGCTTTCTTCTATCTACTCGCGCAGGTGGTCTCGGCATTAATCTCATGACAGCAGACACTGTCATCATCTTCGATTCTGACTGGAACCCTCAAGCAGACTTGCAGGCCATGGCCCGAGCCCACAGAATTGGTCAAAAACGCCCCGTCAACATCTATCGTCTTGTCTCCAAGGAAACTGTGGAAGAAGAAGTCTTGGAGCGGGCGCGAAACAAGCTGCTGCTAGAATACCTCACCATTCAGGCCGGTGTTACGGATGACGGCAAGGCTGCATTCAAGGAGGAGCTGAACAAGAAAGGCATCAAGGTTGATGGACCATCTTCCAATGAAGACATCCAAATGGTTTTGAAAATGCGCTCCTCCAAGATGTTCGAGCAAAGCGGCAATCAGGAACGCCTCGAGCAGCTCGACATTGATTCTATTCTCGAGAATGCAGAAGTCACAAAGACCAAGGTTGATGACAAGATTAACCTTAGTAGTGGAGGCATTGACTGGGACAACTTCATGCAAATCACTGATGTCAAGGTAGACGACATCAACCTTGACTGGGACCAGATCATTCCAGCCGACAAGCTAGTAGAAATCAAAGCTGAGGAAGATAAGCGCCAGCACGATGATTACCTGGCCAAGGTCGCCGCTGAGAGTGCACCACGACGTGCTGCAGTGAAGAGCCGCAATCGAGAGTCTGAACGGGCTGACCGCCTCAAGAAGCGACAGAGGGAACAACAGCAGGAAGAGGAAGAGGAACGTGCCCTGCGAGCTGATCCCAAACGACCTCTCAATGACAAGGATCAGCGTAACCTGATCAAAGCCTATTTCCGTTTTGGCTCAATTGATGACCGACGAGATGACATCATTCGCGAAGCAAAACTTGTCGATCGTGATGCTGACTATGTCAAGTCGGTTCTAGACGATTTCATCAAAGCCGCTCAGACAGCTGTGGATGAGAATCTCGACAGAATGGCCGAGGAAGAGAAGAAGATGGGCAAAACCCTGACGAAGAAGGATAAGAAAGCTGTCTTGATCGACTTTGGCGAGCTGAAGAAGGTCAATGCCGAAACGGCCATCGAGCGACCAAAGCAGTTACAGCTTCTTCGCGATGCCATCCGAAGCCAAGCTGATTGGAGAACATACCGTCTCCCTGACGCAACCAAGGGTGCAAACTACAGCTGCCCATGGGGTGCCAAGGAGGATGCTATGCTTCTTGTTGGTATTGATAGGCACGGATTTGGAGCATGGGTACAGATCCGTGATGATCCGGACCTTGAGCTCTCGGAAAAGTTGTTCCTCGAGGAGCATCGTGTTGGCAAGAAGGAAGAAAGATCCAAGGCCAATGACAAGCTCAAGGCCCCAGGCGCCGTACACCTTGTGCGACGCTCTGAGTATTTGCTATCAGTCCTTCTTGCAAGACAGTCTAATGATCGCCCTGGACTTAGAGCGCCCGAGGGTCATCGTGCAAAGAAACAGCCCTTGCCCAATGGCCATCGTAACAGCGCGGCAGCATCTCCAAGTGGACAAACTACGAAACGTCCCCGAGAGAAGGAGCGAGATCATGATCGTGGAACTCCGCGACCAGAACTCAAGCGCAAGCACGTTTCTCATGAAGATTCTCGCATCCCCAAACATCAACGAGCTGAAGACGGGCGCCGCAGCAGCAGGCCTGACGACCGAAATGACAGGCATGAGAAGGCTCGACGCCGAGATGATGACGACCGTGACCGACGCCGGGAGAAACCTCGTCACAGGGATGACTACCGCAGAGACGACTACCGTCGCGATGATTACAGACGTGACGACCGGCGTGATGACCGGCGCGATGACCGGCGCGATGACCGGCGTGACGACCGGCGTGACGACTACCGCTACGACGATAGACGTGACGACCGACGTGACGACCGGCGTGATGACAGGCGTGACGATAGACGCGACGACCGACGCGACGACCGACGTGACGATAGGCGTGATGACAGGCGTGACGATAGACGTGACGACAGACGTGATGATCGCCACGGGGACCGCGAGAGAAGCCATCACCATGAGCATCGTCCTCTTGATGAAAGGAGAGCCAAGGCGCTTCGCCGTCTGGACGAGCTACGCCACATCGGTGACAACGCGGATCAGCGTGCGCAGGACAACGACGCTATGATCTGGTACTTGCTCAAGCCTGTGCGAGAGAATTTTGAAAGGATTCTTTCGACAACAAAGCACAAAGTCAAGTCGAGCAAGGAGCGCGCATCAATCTTTGCTGTAGAGCTTGTAGTAATCGGAACTTTTCTTGACGAGAAACTTCCAGCTACTGTCGCGGATGGAGGACTGAAGGATAATTTCTGGTAAGTCAGCTTCGAATGTTCTGACTCGCTCATTATGCTGACTTGGATGTTATAGGGATTTTCTGGCTGCTCTCTGGCCTGTCGATGATACGAGCATGAGTGTAACGGGCGAGCGACTGAGCAACATGTACAAAACGTTGTACGCTCGCAACAAGCAAGGCAGCTCAGTCAGGCCTAGCACAAATGGTGCGTAGGTCGCCCATGTCCGAAGTGCCGGAGCATTCAATCTTGAACACGAGGGGGGCAAGATATGTATTTGATCGCCGTGGAATTAATAGCCTCCTGCATTGTTTTTTTCGCATTTTTCTGGCGTTTTGGTACATTTCGAGGATTCACTTTTCTTTTCATATTTTTTTTTTCAAGGCGAGGGCAAGCAATTATACAACATACCCAGAGGTGCAAGGCATTAGGAAACGACTCACGAAGGACAGGCGGTGTGAAGGAGTTTGCCACGGGTCGTTGTCTGGTTAGAAAATTGGGAGGGCATTGCGGTTGTTTGATGGAATTGCGAGGTTTTATTATTGTTTGGTTCCTGTCTTGTTGGCTCCTTGCTCTTGTTTGGCGGCTACTCTAAAAACTGTCTGCATTCCGTATCCCTCTGCCGCCGGACATGCTTTGATGGTTGATGTAGGCCCCGTGTATTTTAAACATGATGGCTCAAATTAATAGATGCGCTCGTAGGAAGATGAAAGCGATGTGCTTGATGATGTACATGCACAATCCGTCGGCGCCCTCTATCGTCGTGAAAGTCAATGCGCCAACAAGATGTATAGTACAAGCAGAGATGCACAATATCGCATGCGCCGGCGGTGTAATGCTGCTGCTGGTGACGGCCAAGACGGCCACTTACTGTGCAAGTCGACCTTATGGGTTACCCACCCTTGTGAGGAGGCACAGGTAAGGTATCGCTTGCCTCCACCTACATACAACCTCACGAGTCACTACCAGCAAGACACATTCTCTGATAAACGCAAAGATGACGGCGCCTTTCGAGCGTGAGCGCGCCGTCGCCGAGGCCGCTGTCCTGCGGGCCGCCATCCTCACCAAAAACGTGCAGTCTCGTGTCAGCGCCGTGTCCAAGGCCGACGCGACGCCCGTCACCGTCGCCGACTTTGCCGCGCAGGCGCTCCTCATCAGCGCCCTGCACGCCGCCTTTCCCGGCGACGGCTTCCTCGGCGAGGAGGACTCTTTGGCGCTGCGAAACGACGCGCAACTCTGCGATCAAGTCTACAATTTGGTAGTGTCGTCGGCGGCGGATGCCGTGGCTAGTGGTGGTGGCGATGGCGAGGCGTTGGCGAGCCCGTCGTCGGTCGATGAGATGCTCAATCTGATTGACTTGGGCGGCGCGGGGCAGGGCGGACCCACGGGCCGCTTCTGGGTCATGGATCCGATTGACGGCACGGCCACGTTTCTCAAGGGCCAGCAGTACGCCGTCGCACTCGCGCTGATTGAAAATGGCCGCGAGGTTGTTGGCGTGCTGGCCTGTCCGAGCCTCAAGGTCGCCGACGACGGCGGCATCTACGACGACGTTGTCGACGCCGATGGCCTGGGCGTGCTCCTCACCGCCGTCAAGGGCCAGGGAGCCACCATCCGGCGCTTCCCCTCCGCGGCCACCGCGTCGCTGTTGTCGTCGCCCGCGACGCCGCTGCCGCCGCTACTACCACCCGCCATCGCCACCACCACCACCGCCGCCGCCGCCGAGAACAGCCTCACGAGCCGCCTGCGCTTTGTCGACTGCCAGCGGTCGACGTCGACCAACCACGGGCTCCCGCGGACGCTCGCGGGCCGCCTCGGCGCGCGGTACCCCGGGCTGGACGTCTGGGCGAGCCACGTCCGCTACGCGGCGCTGGTGCTCGGCGCGGCCGACGCGTGGGTGCGGCTGGGCGCGCGCCCAGAGGCCGTCTTTTACGTATGGGACAATGCCGGCGCGCAGCTGCTCTTTACCGAGCGCGGGGGCCGAGTGACGGACTTTGACGGCCGGGCGATGGAGTTTGGCGCCGGCCGCGACTTGCGCGCCAACAGGGGCATGGTGGCGGCGCGCGCGGATGTGCACGGCGTGCTGCTCGAGATGGCGAATGAGGTGCTGGCGGCGCAAGTGGCCGCTGCCAAGGGTGCGTGAAGAAGGGGGGGGGGGATTTCCGTAGCCCAGAGCAAAGAAGGTGAATAAGTGGCTGAATGGAATATTAGAATGATAACGAACCGTCTTGATGAGAGCATGAATTAGATGTCTGGTTCTAGCTGCTAGCTCCTGCTATGCAATAATACGAAGAATGAAAGCAACAACAATCATATACTTATACATTTTACCACATTGCCTAAATTTACATGAGACTACTACGGCCTCCAATCTCCGTGCTTCCTTGCCCATCCTTCATCTTGCCGCTGCGGCCGGCCACAAACTCGTGGTATATGCGCTCTAGGCGGCTCCTCTCCTCCTTGCTGATGCTGGCACGCGTGTTGTCAAGCGCTTTGACGAGGTGCTCCCAGCCAATAACCACCTCCTTCTGGTCCAGCGACGCCTTGCCGCCGTCGCCGTTGGTCGAGGCAGCGTTTGCAAGGCCGACCGAGCCCTTGTGCGCCTGCTTCTCCTTGCGGCGCGCGAGCTTAATCTGCTCCAGCTTGGACGTCATGGCGGCCTGCTCCGTGAGGGCGGCCGACTTGCTCTGAGGCGCGGGCTTGACGGACTGGTCGGCGTCGGCGCCGTAGCGGAACTGCACGAAGCTCGGAGCTGCGCTGCGTCGCGCCCCGTTCTGGCCGCCGCTCTTGCCGCGGACAGTGGACGATGCGCCGCCGACATCGAGAACATCATGAATTGCCTCGAGCTGCGAGTTGGACACGAGAGCCTGGAGATCTGCGCCGGAGAAGCCGTCTGTGCGTCGGGCAATTTCCTCCCACGCGTCTTCCGACTCGGCGAGCTCGTCGGAGAGTCGGACCTTTTGAAACAACGCCTTGAGAATGTCGAGACGGTCCTCGGGAGCGGGCATGTCGCAGAGTAGAGACTTGTCGAGACGGCCAGGTCGGAGAAGAGCTGGGTCGATGAGATCAGGACGAGACGTTGCCGCGAGCACGTACACCCCAGACAAGCCTTCGGCACCATCCATCTGTGTTAGCAGCTGATTGACCACTCTGTCCGTCACACCGGTCGAGTCATGGCCACGCTTGGGGGCTATCGAGTCAAACTCATCAAAGAATAAGACGCAAGGCCTTGCCGCCTGGGCACGATCAAACAGATCACGCACACTCTTCTCCGAAGCACCAATGTACTTGTTCAAAATCTCGGGCCCCTTGACGCTGATAAAGTTTAGACCACATTCACCAGCCACAGCACTGGCAAGCAGTGTCTTGCCGCAGCCAGGGAATCCGTAGAGGAGGAGACCAGACCGAAGTCGCAAGGGACATTGTGAGAAGATGGGAGCGTATTTTGTGGGGTATTGCAGTGTCTCTAGCAGGACCTTTCGTGTTTCTTGAAGACCACCAATCGACTTGAACGTAGTTGTCGAACTCTGGAGCGAGACATTCCGCAAAGAGGCGGGCGTAAACCCCTTCAAAGCCTTGTCAAAGTCGACACGGCTGAGACGAATGGAGCCCCCGGAAGTATCATTGGGAGACTCGCTGAGAGCCCGGATGATGGCCTCGTTTCTAGCACGGGAAATAACGACTGTCAAATCTCCAGGCATATAACCGTCTGTTTGGCCAGCAATGTCGAGGAAGTCGAGATCCGAATCGAGGATGAATCCGCTACTGACAGAGTTTGGGGCAGCAGCAACAGGCTGATCTGCTCCATGCAACCAGTCTCCGTTCTCTTCAATATTACTACCATCGGCGGTTGTCGGTCTGCTGTTGCTGCTAATATTGTCTATATCGTCCATTGCGACAGCATTTTGCTTTGCGATGCTCTCCATGACCCTTCTGCGA